CGTACAATCCTGCAAATATTTGGGGGTCATTTTCAATAAGAAGGAAAATAGCGCAGATGAAATCAGGGAAAGAATAAACAAGGGTAGAGCAGCGACCCGTGCCTTAAACTCTCTTCTCTGGCAAAAAACAATTCGACGAGAAATCAAAAAACACATTTACGGTAGTATAGTCCAAAGTATTACACTTTACGGTTCGGAAGTATGGGACGTCACCAAAGCTAATAAAAACAAACTTATGACGACAGAAATGGATTATGTGAGACGAAGCTGCGGTAGATCGAAACTAGAAAGAGTTAGGAACGAACAAATAAGAAACGAAATGAAAATGGAGCGAAATATCAATGATGACATAGAAAGAAAACAATTAATCTGGTTCGGACATGTTAAAAGAATGCCAGAGTACAGATGGCCTAAAAGAGTACTGGAATGGATCCCTCCTGAAAGAAGAAAGAGAGGACGACCACGGAGAAGTTGGCGCAACGATATTGATGAAGCAATGGCGGCAAGAGACTTAGAAGAGGCAACTGCGTATGACAGAAAAAGATGGAAATTGGTGGCGAAGAAGCGGCGACAGCCGTAATCAATCCGTTATTATATATATGTACGCTTGACATCCCAAACTTTGTTCCGCATTTTGACCGGCGGGACAATTTTTATCTGGTATGCAAAAAATTGCGTCGTCTGCGTAACAGAGTATTTTTACTTATTTGATTTTCCATTCTGTATCCTCTTCCTTTGTTAACGCTTTTGATCATTTCATCCATGATTAAATTAAAGAGCATAGGCCTCAATGAGTCTCCTGCCTTATTCCGCTGCCTACATCCATAGGTTCTGTAAGTTATCCCTCTATTTCTGATTTCCATTTTGTTGTTGTGGTAGATCTTTTTGATTCATTTTGCTGCGAAAAATTGGTAGATTTAGTAGTTCGTTTCTTCGCCTATTAGCAACTATACAACCACTATCATATTCTGGAGTATTTATACTACAATTATTGAGGCATTGTCCTGTGCATTTGCATTTCGATATTTTTGTCGAAATATCAAATATCGGCAGTAACATTGGCTTTTTGGGTTTTGTATCCCCTTTATATGGGACTTAAAACAGATCAATTTTTAGTAGTTCTTAATTTATTAAACGATTAACATATAAATTTAAAAAATTGTATTTTAGTAAACAAATTAATCTTCGAAAGATACGATATGTATCTTATAATGCATCATTATATTTCCACGTTTAAAAATTTTTATTACCACTTTATCAATGTTATGAAACAAATATCAGTTACAATATAATTGACCATAGCCTACTGTTTATTTGGGTTAAACATTATCTATGAATGGCAAAAAAATACCTTAATCGGGTTAACAATAATATACTTGAAGTGAATACATACAAATCATAATACCAATTCAAATTGACTAACTTAATTATTCCTTAAACGTTTCGGCTATTTGCCATTTTCAATAAGCACTTTAATTATTTAAATATGACACAATATACAATTATATTTTCTATGTGCACTTTTCAAAAGCTTAAAATAGAATAAAAAATGGACGTGTAGGAACTCATTACTTTATAGCCCCGCATAAAACGAGATATAGCAAACTATATCACCAGCACCCATTGGAGAAAGGTAAACTCATCATCGCAGATAGGTAAATTCATCACCAGCATTTTTGCCCCAAGACGCTGATTTCTAATGCGGAAGATTGCCTGTCACCTGTTACATTTCTTGTTTGCTTTATAATTCAACTGATATATTTATGTCGGGTGTCTCCCACATGAGTGGCCTATTAGACGTATCTGCAATTTAAACATATTTGAATTCTAGAAATTCAGCTGCATAGGTTTTTAATAGGGAACTTTTTAATGAAAATATTTATGAGAAGGTGCTATTTCCGGTTATATCTGAAATAGTCCCCAACTTCGTCATATTATCTTGTTGAGTCCTGACTTGGATTATTCTTTTAAATTAACAAACTTTAGCGGTTTGCAACCATTTACCTGCCACGGGGTGTAGGTAGACCAGTGATTAGTTTGCAAATCTCTCTGGGTCTATTTTAAAACCATGCTTTTATTGCAGTGATTTGACTTTGTGAAGTGAGTTTGTACTATCTAAAAGAGCATCTTATGCTAATTGGTCATGAGTGTACGTGTACACATCAAAAAGTGGTATCTGATCCTAAATACTTCTGGCAGGTACTTCAAAATACGAGTGATTTAGGGTTGTATTTTAAATACTGTAACCTCGGAAATCTTTTTTGGGTAGTGCTAGAAAGATAACCAATGGAGACACTGCGGGCGGCAGCCAGATGGTTAGTGGAGAGCGAGTCGTGGGTTCGAAACTAGCTTTTGGAACCGGGAATGGATCCAACGGAAGAAATAGACAAAGATAGGATAAGAGATATTAGAAAAGATACAGAAATAAATAAAAAGATAGATGGGTAAAATTACCAAAGATAAGAGAAGATAGAAACAGGGCGCCACTCAATTTTTTGGGGTTAAGGAGAAAATTAAGAAAACCTTAGAAAAGAAAAGAGATAAGAAAAGATATTTAGGTTCAGAGAGCAAACCCAAGGAAAGATACCAACAGTAAATTATCAAATAAATCTGGTCAACGCAATATATAAACAAATAATAAATATATTAAGTATTACACTTACTTACCTACGAAACTTAATCAGCCTGATCTTTCTACAGTTCAAAAGCATAGTAATATTTAAAGATAGTAATTGTTCAGAGCTATTATTTTATCAGGGAACTTGTTAGGAGCCGACAAATAAAATACATGCATAAAACAATAACAATATATTAAACACAAAATTATGATGCCGCTAAATGCAACCCAGGTAATAAAAATACACAACTATGAAATGGTGTTATATATGTATAAAATTAAGCAATAATGTAATAAAAAAATAATACCTTTACCAAGATATATAAGGCAATCATATACAAATATAGTTTGGCGTATCTCGAGATATCATAGGAAAGATAATGAACAAAAAATTATAGGAAATACAAAAGATAGCAAAAATTACTTAACTCTAAATTTACAAAAAAAAAACAAAAAGGTTACAGGAATGAAAACATAAACCAAACCGCACTTGGTTAAGTCAATTAACTATCTCGCACTATTATTTAATAAAAAACTGAGACTTGTATGTTCATAGGTAATATTTATAGAAATTTCTTGAATGGTTCAATTACATTCAAAAATCGGCAATCTACAGGTGAAGATATAGATGATACGTCCAGATAATGGCAGGTGATATGGTACCATACCATATTACTCGCCCAGATAATTGTAGATAAAGATTACTTACAGTAGATCTTGACGAAGGCAGCTTAATACACTGAATTTAATACTTTTCTGGTACTAAACACTGAATTTAATAACCATTAAAGGTAGTGTAGAACTATATATAATTTAATATAGTCTAAGGAAAGAAAACTCAAATATAAAGTGTATACACACTTAGAAAATAATTCCCAAAGACGATACGATAAGAAATAAAGTGAGCAAAGCGTAACACGAGATATTGGCCTTAACTCAACAACGGCCCACCAAAAAGTCTCACGAGATATTACCTCACTCAACAACTGCCCACCAACAAGTAAATTGGTTCCACTAAAAATTTCGCCAACTGTCCCTGAAAAAGGAAGAAGAAAATATTCCCCCACTCAAGAATGATAGGACAGTTGTATGTGTTTCTCAGAAGGTAAGGCCTTAACGACTATTGGAAAGTTTGAGGTAAAATAATCGGTATTAACAATTGGACATAAGAAACAGACAATACTTGGGATTAAGTTATTGCCAAAAGATATGAAAATTTATGAAAAGAAACCGAATACCAAAAAGCATTATACTCTTTTCATAATGAATATTATGACGGAAGGATTAAAAACCTTTCTTAATTAGGGAATTCCATTTTAGCTTGGTATCTACAATAATATTTTCCTATCGTAAACACGATGATTCCTAATCATCGGCGTATCGCACGGGGGTAAAAGGAATTAAAAATAATTTGATATATTAATAGTAAAAAAAATGTTACCAATATCTGCCAATGGTGCATTAAAAAACAATTTAATTTACTTCAATTAGGATACATATTGGAAAGATCTTCGACATCAGTCTTATTATTTATACACTTGAGTGCAAAATAATCGACTCAAAAGCGATATTTGAGAAATCATCAATAACAACATGAATTTCTTAATTATTCAGTATTTGATATTACCACTCCTACTCCCAATTACTCTTTTCAATCGATTTCGCATGGAACCGTATGACTTTTCTAATAAATTCTTGAGGTATTGCTTCCCATTCATCATTAAGCGCAGCTCTCAATTCTATTATGCTCCTTGGTGCATGATTTCTGTCCTGGACCCTTCGTTTAAGCTCATTACAAACATGCTCTATTGGATTTATGTCCAGGCTTAACACAGGAAAATTAATTGTAGGTATACCGATCTCAGATAGATAGGTGGTGGTGATTCGTACGATATCACATTGTGCATTGTCGTGCATTAAAATAAAGGCATCACAATAAAGCCCGCGTATGAAATCACGTTCCTTCAATATGTCTCTGATGTTACGATTTGCCGTTAAACCTCCTCCACGTACTCCACCAGGCACGAAAATCAACTCGGATTTCCCATCCATAGAACTGCCTGCCCAAAACATACAAGAACCGCCTTCATGGCACAATTTCTCGTATACAAAATTGAGAAAATCGCTGTCCTGGCCTTCCACAGACTCAACGCCTCTTGTCGTTGCCATGTAGGCAGATCCTACTTTCATCGAAGAATAATACCTGACTCTATTGATAGTGGTCCCAATCCAGATGTTCGCGAACAAATTCTAATCGCCTTTGCTTCTGGGTTACAGTTAGCTTGGGACCCATAGCCGCCCTTTTTTGTGTCAGGTTGGCTGCCTTTAGTCTCCTTCTGACTGTCCAAACGCTCGATCATCGATCATCCCTCTCCGTTTTTATTCGTTTACGGCATCCTCCTTGTCGACGGATATAATCAGCAGTATCTTGGTATCGACGATACACTCGGGACACAGCAGATTGGCTTAAATTTAGTCGATTTACCACGGCCCTCTGTCTCAGGCCTGCTTTCAATAATGCTATTGCTTGAGTTGCGTTTACGGATGTGGCATCCACTTGTAATGCAGTGGCGAACTTAAGTGACTGATGTATTAGTGTGTTGCTATGGAAATTGATGTGTACGATGTTAACCGAACACGTTAAGTCGGTGCGTGTCGATTTCAATGAGTCAAATTCTGACCCCCTCTCTAAGCGTTGCATTATATATTTGTAATGCGTCATCCAATTCACCAGAAAACAATTTTTTTTAAAACCTAATAATGAGGTTAATGATTGTAAACTAAATATTTTTAAATTTACACTTTTTAGATTGAATCAGGAGAATCACTTGTTTATATGAATCATCTCCAATATGCATCTTTTGTTGTAGTTTTGTTCTTTTATATAAAAGAGATTCTAATTAAACGTAGGTGATCATATTCTTCTTCTTTTGGCATCATAACCCTGGATGGGTCTTTGCCTGTCTGGCTATGTCCTTCCATTCAGATCTCTCTTGTGTCCTTCTTCTCCATTATCTTATGTTCATTGTTTTCAGGTCGTCTTCCACGTCATCCAACCATCTCGTTCTGAGCCTTCCTCTTTTTCGCCTTCCTATGGGCTTCCATTGTAACATTTTCTTTGTTGTTTTTGCATCGTTTTGTCTCTGCACATGTCCCAGCCATGACAGTCTTTGACTTTTCACTAATCTTACATGGAGGTGATCATATACAGAATGCAATACAAGGAAACGAATATTTCTAATGACAATAAGATACACACGAGACAATGTAATTAATGAGAAGTTCTTTAAACCAGATCAGAGAGGCAAACATGACCCACTACATAAAATAAAACCGGATGAAAACAGATGTGTTCAAGAATACGTAAACGACTTCAAGCGGTTACTCTCCTTACTAGGAGAACGAACCGCTCTATATTTTTTTTTATTTTATTTTATATAGATTATTTTTGAAGGGTCTATCAGAAAAAAAAATATTGAAACCGATGTATCATTGAAAGCTAATTGTAATCTGTGTGAAGCTAAAAAAGATAAAGATATTACATTTACCGAACAAGAAGTGCAAGATGTCACTTGTTTTATATGTCATGTGTACACATGACATAAATAAAATAGAGAGTATGGACTTATTATCTAACCAAAAAGTACCTAAAGCAGATAAAAATTTTATAAGCATAAGTTTTGACATACAGAAAGTGTTTAAACACTCTTCGTTGAGGCAATTTACTTTTATATTACTCACGAAAGTATACTATGTACAATGATACCGTTTACGAAAGTGAACCAGACGAGTTTTTTGGCATTTATAGGGTGAAACTATTGGTAAACGAGGATGATTAGACCGAAGATTAAAGAAGGCTTTGCCCAAAGATGACAATATCCTTTACCCATCCCCATTAGAACTTTCTACAAAAAAATTAAAAGACCTCATGCAGCTGATGCAAAAACGGATAATACCCGTTCGATATTGGGATGAATATGAACAAATGACATGTAGCTATGTCGTAACTGATGTTTTAGCCGAGACTGGTGCAGGTCCTTGTTTTTTCTGTTTAATTTTTGAGTTTGAGTTGTAAGTTCAGTTAAAATATCTCTACGCAAAATATATTCTTCTTTACTGACAAAATATCGCTTAGTTAGAAATAATGTCTGACAAAATGTTTAAAAAAACAATAATTTAAAAATTTATGAATTTTATTTTTCTACTCGAAGGTTACTTAGAAACTAATTCTATAACGAAAAATAGATAAATAATCCACACTTGATCTTGATTTTCGATAATTACATATTTACAGGAGAAAAAGTCCTCTTCTGTAAAATTTGCCATTTGTCGCTTAAGTTGTTTTGTCAAAAACCTGTCGATATAAACTATGAAAGGTTAGATTATACACACTGGTGGGATTATAACTTGCATTCTAAACACATACCCAAACACACTATAAGATTAAATTAAGTATACATCATTACATTTTTGTTGTAATCTTTAGTGTACTTCTTAGGTAAATGACATAAAAATAACTCAATGAAATTAAAACAGTGAAGAGTACAAATTTGTGATCTAGAAACGAGTCCTAATTCGAGTAATCATGGTTTTCTAAAAGACTGTAATTAATTTGACGGAGCTTATTGTGTATCCGCCTCGGAAATATTCATTTAAATGTACCAAATGACGCTCGCCCACAATGAGAGGCGACCATCTGGCCGGTGGCATTCTTCTGGTGTAGCACTACTACTTGTGCGGTATTATTTATGGCGAGTCTATGGCGCCAGCTGGCCACGGTCACTGATCCAAGCTGGCACTGGCACACACACAACCACACACTCACAAAACGTTGTTGTTCTTGCTCTCTTTTCTCGCGCGGATTATGCTGTAGGCCGTCTCTTTCTTGCACAGATCGCTGCCGCCAGCCGATGATGCGATAATGTTTTACGTCGCTTTTACTCGCTCATGCTTGGTCCACAGATCGGTGGATGCTGGGCCGGTGCCGGGCAATTCTTGGCAAAACACGATTTTCCTTAAAGATGGCTATAGATTTATTCGTTACACTATTCGTGTTTATTGTTTTATTTTTTTTGTTCGAATCGTTAAATCTATACCTACAAGTTAAAAATTAAATACATGTCCTTAATAAGTCGCTTGCTTTTTACAATTTTAATAGCCCCAATTTAGTATTTTATTAAAACAAAATCAAATATGAAATATATTTATAAACTTTGTTCATTTAGATCAGGGGTTCCCAAACTTATTTAGCCTACCGCCCCCTTTCCATAAAATATATTACTCAGTTCCATCTGAAAATTATTTTTTTTTTTTTAATTTTTAACTTTTAAATTATAAAAATATTTATTGAACTCAGAATGGAAAGGTAATACAAAAAAGTTAATACATTCAAAATTATCTTAATCAGAAGAATGCACCTGGTGTGCTGCTAATTTAATAATTCTCGGCACTATTTTCATCAGCAATAAATCTGAAATTACCGCTATTGACTAGGTATTTACAATCGGTTTCTACAAGGGAATGCAATTAAGAACTTTTGAATTATGTCCGATATTTCAGGGTAAGCCGTAGGGATTTGCTTTTGTAGCCAGAATTTTTGGTAGCCGTTTTTAAACTTAAATTTCAATTCATCATTTTATTTTTTATTAAAAAGGGATAATTCCCAGGAGTTAGCTGTATACCATATAGTAAAAAAACTCGACCATCAAAGTAAAACACTTTTGTTGTATTGCTATATTTATTTAAAATTAAATTTAAAAATCCAAAGGGATGAGTTCAAAATGTTTTCGATCAGTCCACCTTTAGTGAACTTTGTAGTACTTGCAAAATAGCCTCAAAACCAAACAGTGGTTGGGTTTTAACGGATTAAACCATACTTGAAAATGTTTTCTACAGGATGTAGAAAACTCTTTCGAGTAGGGACTTGGTCTACAGATCTGATCTGAGGTCAGCCCCATTGGTCTATAATTTAAGTGCAAAAAATTTTTATGAGTGACAATAGTCCCTGTGTACTTTATTGTTGGTACCTATTTACGGTACCTTATACGATTCCTTATTCTAATTCTTCGCCCTATTAAAGAGTTGCGTTTTGAGTTGCCTCAGTTCAGCCAGCGCTTTATTTCACCAAATAGCTTGCGGCGCGCAACTTCCTAGTCGAAACCAGTTGTCTTCATATAAGGCGATGATTATTTGTTGCAACTAACCGACTGCTAACTTTACCTCTAAATTACTCTTTAACCTCTTTCAATACTAAAACCGTATTCTGTATCCTTTTCTCCAGATCTCTTTTAAAAATACATAGTCGAATAGGGACATATCGTTCATCATGTGCTAATTGAATATCACATCTCTAGTATCACCTATCACCTTGTAGCCTCGGAAACCTTTTTTGGATGGTGCTAGAAAGGTCACCAATGGAGATACTGTGGACGGCAGCCAGATGGTTGGTGGAGAGCGAATCGTGGGTTCGAAACTAGCTTTTGGAACCGGGAATGGGTTCAACGAACGAAATAAGTAAAGATAGAACAAGATAAGATAAATTAGAAAAGATACAGAAATAAACAAAAAAATAGATGTGTAAAATTACCAAAGATACGAAAAGATAGAAACAGGGCGCCACACAATTTTTTGGGGTTTAAGGAGAAAATTAAGAAACCTTAGAAAAGAAAAGAGATAAGGAAAGATATTTTGGTTTTGAGTTCAAATCCAAGGAAAGATCCTCCTCCTCAATCCTTTAGCCCTTGTCAGGGCGTAGTGACACCCTAAATATTATTAGTCTGCTGTCTCCATTGACTGCGATCTTGTGCCATATGGACGGCTTCATGTAGGGATTTTCCCACCAAACTCTTCATTTGGTCCACCCATCGTATTGGAGATCTTCCTCTTGGTCTTCGGCCTTCTACCTTACCTTCTACTACCAATAGTTCCATGGTGCCCGTTCTTCTAGCTATGTGGCCGAAGTAAGTTAGGTATGCTTGGTTTACTTTTTTTAGTAGCCTGTCTTTTATATGAAGCTCTTCCAGAATTGACAGGTTGGTTCTATGTTCTGTCCAGGACACGCGTAGAATTCTTCTATATACCCACATTTCGAAGGCTTCGATCTTACTCCTATCGATTTTTTTGAGAGTCCATGTTTCAGCTGCATATGTAGCAATGGGAAAAATAAGGGCATTGACCAACCTAAGCTTAGTATTCCTTGTTATTGTTCGGTCTTTCCATATTTTAATTAATTTAGCAGTTGCGGTTCGGGCCATTCCTAGTCTACGTTTGATTTCTGAGGAACAATTACCATTGTTGGTTATCAGAGAGCCCAAGTATACAAATCTGTCGACTACTTCGAAAATCCCTATTTGGCGTATATGCGGTAGATTATTATTTGCTCTGTCTGCAATCATTAGTTTTGTTTTTCTGGTGTTGATTTGAAGTCCGAATTCTTCACTTATTCGGCTTAGCCGTTCGATGATGGTAATCATTTCGACAAGGAAAGATACCAACAGTTAATTATTAAATAAATTTGGTCAACACACTACATAAGCAAATAATAAATATATTAGGTGGACTCGGTCCACCTACTGACCTACGAAACTAAATCAGCCTGCTCTTTTTTCTGGTCGAAGGTATAATAATAATTAAAGGTAAAAAGCAAATATTCAGAGTTATTGTTATATCAGGAAACTTATTAGGAGTCGACAAAATAAAAGTCATACATAAAACAAAAACAAT